CGGGCATCACCGTTGAAGGAATCCCCTGCTCGTGATGAGGAAGATGAGACATCAGACTGCCCCATGGAGCAAGTCGCCGATGAGAATCCATCCGCCTCTCAACAACCCGAGAATGTCAACATGGAGCAGGTTGATTATGATCCAGATTCCGACGACGATGATTCAGATGAAGAAGGGCATCCTCCCGCAGGAAGGCCTACGTCAAAGGCGATGCCGCATCCGAAACTTGTTCCAAAGTCACCGCCACCAGCATTGAGGCTTGTCTCCAAGGTCAAGCCAGCACCAAAGAACATCTTGGATGAAGAGACGGAATCCGACAATCATCCTGGTGATCGACCTGCACTTCCAAGGCGACCAGCGATGCGGCCTGTTCTCACATCCAATGATCGGTGGTTTGTAACATATGGATCGGATACAAACATCAGCCTCCAGAAGGAATCCGTACACCCAGGACCTTTCGGAAACTCAAAATTCCTGAATTTTGTGTACGAGTACTACAAGGAATGCTCAACCATCCTCGATGTCAATCCGGACTTCCATTTCGTTCCTGAGCATGAGAGACCACATGGAGTCAAGGTATTCTGGTTGAAGGCCAGATTCAACGATTACTGGCAGCCAACACTCCAAGGTGAAGGACCTCATACGGAGAAGCAATACATGGACTTCATCAAGAAGGTCTACAGCATCTGCTGCTACACCAATGCTCAATCCGAAGTTTACGGAACCGACATCATCCCGATGGTATGCCACAACGGCAACATTGATCTCGAGAAGACCGTCCAGAATGTCGAACAGGTTTGCAAATACTTCCGCATGGATCCATCCAAGGCGAAACAGATCACAGATCTCATCCTCTGGCGAATTGAGAGAATGAGCAGATCATTTTCCGGATGTCTTCGACATGATCCAAGGCATGGAATCCATAAGGAATGCAGACGACAAGTGGACATGGGTCCTGATGGATCCGTCGAGCTCTATGACGCATTGACCTGCATCACACATGCCAGGAACTTCATTGGAAATAAGCCAGGACTTCTCTTGATGGCTATGTTCCCGAGCTATGGAAAATCACGTTTCGAAATTGCATTCGTATTTCCATCCGTGGACGGGTCATATAATGAGCGCAAGGCACGGGGAGAAATTGTTCCAAGGAATCGATGGATCGACAAGCTCACCACAAGATCCGCACAAAATGCACTCAGGCCCGATGGCAAGGAATTCTATGTCGATCCAGAGATGGAGTTCTATGTGAGATGCAATAGCGGACACACACGACAAGTCGAGATCCAATCCTTTGGACGACCCCTGTACTCTGAGCAGCAGAAAGAGCCTCAACACGACGAACCGGACTATGATCTCCCAACGGAATCCATTCCACCAAGTCCGCATCCGTCAAGACCCCAGGCGCCTCATGAAGATGAGAGCACAGCTCAGCCCAAGCATAGAATGCGAAGGCCGGCACCACCATCCATTGAAGAAGAGAGAAAAATCAAGCCGTTCGCGAAGAAGCCCATCACATTCATGTTCCATGCAAGCACGGGCTCAAATCTGGGAAATCCCAGTCAAACCCTTCGGGGAGAATGCACGTCCACATGGCATGCATCGATGACGTCATCCTTGACGACGATGAGTCAGAAGCCGCATTGACCCATGTGCCAGCAGGAAGAGATGCACGGTTGATCCTTGCATTCCTCAAGGACCAAGACTATGGCATCCGACTCTCCGAAGAGCGAACAGCGTTGACAAACAAAACCATCGAGGCAAGAAACATTGTTGCAGCATTTGAACCTGATGGCAGCCTCATGGCGAGCAACAAGTGGATCATGAAGAAGCATCTCAGTTATGAAGATTACGAGATGTACGACACCAAGATCCGCGAATTTGCCGATGCCTTCTTCAATTATGTGAATTCCACAAAGCACAGCAAGGAAAAAGATACTTCCTCAGAGACCAAGAAGAGACGGCATTCCACCGATCAGGACGAAGTTGAAGAAGAGACCATGGAACCCTCCGGGGAAAGATCCGTCAAGCCAAAGGCCACCGTGGAATATCATAATTCAGAGAACCTAGACGAGTTCATCCAAGAACTCAAGGGAATCTATCTCGAAACAGATTTGAACAAAAAGGACGCAGAGTCATTGGCACATGTCGATCCCGATGTCAATCTCGGAGAAGAAGAATTCTACTTCCCTCATCGAGGAGAATGTCCCACCATGGACGAGTACAAGCAAGCTCAACCAGGATCCGGATATCCGATTAAGCTTCCACTTGGATTGAAGAAGCTTAGGTCACATGATGACCCGGAAATCATCCGAGCCTATGCCGATATCCTGGGATCGCTGATGCAACCGACCGACCGTCCTCCTGTGGACTATCTCAAGATGCATGAGTTCACCTCATCCATAGCGATCAACATGCTTACCCTGAACCATGGAAACCTCACGAGGAATCCAAAGCTGGACAACAGGGAGGTGTGCAACATGCCGATGAAGGATCGATCGATCGTGAAGATGATGATGCAGAACAGTGCACACATCTTATGCCTGAATGAAGCAGACGCATTCTTCAGTCCTAATGATGAGAAATCCAGGGAGCTCATCAAGACGTTCATCCGATTCGGGTACAAGGGCATCGTGATCAAGCAATGGTCATCCAGACCGATCGCATGCTTTGTCCGTGGCGGACCTTCTGCAAGAGTGGAACTTCTGGCAAGACACATTTCCACCAAGAGCCAGAATTGGGGAACCACATTCGGAATGTTCAGATGTTTCTTCGGAACCGAAGGAAGTTGCACTGATCCCGAATACGAAATTCCGACCTCGAATTGCTTGGCAACTACAGGACCATCCATGTTTACTGAATCAAGAAGTACATCGGACCGAGATTGCCAGCACGCACCACTGTCCAAGGACATGGCCGAGACAAGGAGATCGTCGTTCTCCATATCGAGCAGAGTGATGAGTTTCGTGGCATGATCCCGAAATCATCCAACAAGTCACTCCACGAGTATGACGACCGCCACATAACGAGGGCAGATCTCCCATTCGCTACCATTGGAGTTCTCCACATTCATCCTTCAATCAGCCATGGAGCAGCACGGGAAGATCTTCAGAATGAAATCATGCCGCTCGTGACATTGTACCGATGCGATGCGATCACCGGAGACGCCAACAAATCAGCGAACACCTACAGCAAACTCCAGCACGTCTTCAATCCGGCCAACGGTCTCGTGAACATCCTCATGAGAGCATATCAGAGACTGTGGAATGAAACGAAAGATTTGCCACTCGTGGACAGAATGGAGTATGCAATGGAGACTTCGTGCACCCTGAAATCCATTGTCCGTCATCACCTGTCCATGAAGTGTGGATCAGGATATGATTGAACATTCCCAGATGTGATGATGACTTTCGTATTTGGATTGGGCAAAACGGACATCCAGCAGGCTTTCCGGAAGGACGAGATGAACGGCATGGATGATGAACAACTGGAACTCATGCGGAACGATCCAACCAAGACCATATTCGATTACCAGGTCTCATCCGCAGAGCGCTTTAAGCACGTGAACAATGACATGTTCATGAATGGCTCGCAGGACTCCGACTCTCACAGTCCCCTCATGGTTTACATCCGCAGCAAATCTGCAACCAGGCAACGCAACTCTGAGAGATACCAGGAGTACATCAAGAAGAAACAAGCCTGGACCCCGCAGGAGTACAAGGACTACAGCAAGCAGTGGGGACATCAGAAGCAGTGGAAGGACTATAGCACCTCGACCTGGAATGATTATGTAGACTATGGCAGTCAATCCGACAGCAGCCGCCGATGGCATCGCCGATCCGACTGACCATGAAGATTCATACGTTCAGCACCACGAACTCAATTCAGATGATTGACCCTCGCCGCCTACAAGACTATACAATGAGTGAGAGATCAATAGTTTCACAATCGTCCCGCGTGTACATAGTGTTGTACATCACCCTTTGGTACATCTAGGTATCTCAAAAAGAAGCAGTACATAGTGTTTTCCATTTCGAAAGCCAAGACATTTCATCCGAGCAGAAAAGAGGATCAATCCGGCATTTTTAATACACATGGCTACGGCATACAGCATGGCTACGGCATACATCAAGGCTACGGCCAAAGGCCAAAGGCCATGAAGCCAATAATTTCATACTTAGTGCTGGAGATCAAAAGAAATTTGTGTCTGTTTTGTGTTTGGTTTACTGAACACTTGATCTCCTGCAACATTTGGCTCAAGGCCCCTTTTGTGTAACATTGCATCATTCATGATCGCGTGAAGCAAAAGAACCTTAGCAGGCCGCCTACAGGATTATCCACAAGACAATCCACCAGGGACAATCCATCCTCCAATCATCCACAGTGGCATATTGGATTCTCTCCGGAATAGATCCAGGGACCAAATCAACGACCTCTACTACCACAGGGTACCAGTTCCCTTCTGGGATAGGCACCTGGGGCAGTGGGCCTCAGGGGGGGGGGGTTTCATTGACCCTGGGTGTCCTTTTGGGCAAATAGATGGGTCTCCCTGGTGGATTGAACCACCAGGTAAACCAGGAAGCAAATCAACCACAAAGGACACTGGGGCGCCGGTTTGGGGGCCGGTTTTTCCGTTGACCCGCTACAACCAGGGTTTCCAATGCCCCTGGGAGAAAGCTAAGAAAACTGGGCGGATCCCGGGTCACCATTTCAGATGGAAAACCTTCCGCTCCCAGGTGCAAGTATCCCGAGGTACCTGCAAGAGACCAATTCTTTCTCCTTGGGGCGATTCTCAGCTCTAGTCGGCCGCCTCAATTTGCTCCATGGGCCGACCAGGTTTGAAGGGTTCCCAGGTCCTCCAGTTGCGAGGTTAGTATACCAACTTTGTTTCTGGGCGTCTTTTTTCGGGAACCCCTCCCACCCAAAGAAAGGGGCGAAAAAACGAGATCGAGGGGCCTACGAGTTCTCGCCCCGTCTGTACTCTCCGCCGGCCAGGCGGCCTCCATGGCTGCGCTGGCGCCCGCGTTTGGTGCGCGAGGCCTTGAGGCCATGAGGCCAGCTGCATGGCTCCCGCGGCTCGCGCGGCGGCGTTCGGAGATTTATCGAGGCATCCGAGGCGAGGCAATGGCGAGGAGGGGAAACCCCAAGGTCAAACTAGGAACTTCATAGGCGAGGTCCTGTAGAGAGCTTAGAAAAAAGGCACCGCACCCCTTTCTCTGTTAGGGTTTTGGGTTTGGGGTTTAGGGTTTGGGGTGGAACTCTCCCAACCAAACAAGGGGTGAGAAAGGGCACTGGAGGACCTGGTAGGGGAAAACTATTGCATGAACAAAAAACGGCTGGTTTCCTCTTGACCTTGCAAGTATCATACACAACTACCAAGGGCGTCAAACAAGGCCTCACACAGGTGGCCACCATGCAGTCAAGCGAGCAACTTTTGTGACACCTTCCATTTGCTTAAGCCCCCTGGAAAAAACAAATACTTCCAGTAGTGATAGATTCCCTTTAAAACCAGCTAGGGACAATTCAAAAAAATGGTCTTAAGCAAATGGATGAAACGCTTCATCTAAGCCACAAACGATGCTTTAAAAAAAGAGAGTAGGGAACAAAGGATTTTCCGTGGCTTGTGCTGGTTTGCTTGCATTTTTGTGGGGAATCAGCCGTAGGCAAATGCAAACAGGATACCTTGCAACACAGGCAGGCAACATTGTAACACAGGCGCTACCTCAGGCCCACAAGTGGCAATTGGCAGCCTAGGGCCTATTTTTTGAAGCAAGAAGGCATGCCCGCTTAGCCCAGGCAAAGTGAAATAAACAAATGCGCTTGTATTTGCTTGCATTTCCTTGCGCATGACTCCCTGTTCAAGCACTCCATTCTGGAAGTCACCTCACCGTGCTTCTTGGCAAGGGACACTTGCCTGCCATACAGTTGCTCCTTAGACTATGTCTCAAACTAGGCGTTTGTCAGGGTTGCTGCAAAGATCCGATCGGCACGGGTAGGGGGCCCGCCCTCCCGCTTGCCTTTTGCAACACACGTGCGCTGAGCCCGAGCTCACATACTCTTCAACTGGTCAAGGAAACCACGCCCGGGAAGATAGGAATGCTACCTGTAGCGGCGCAAATAAGAAGTTCAGAAAACTCTTATCCTGCCTATCATGTTATGGGGTCCCATGCAAACTGAGGCGTTTCCACGAGCATGACAATCGAGGCATCCTGGTTGCTCTGCTTTACATGATGGAGGATGCTGGCCGTTCGTGTGAAGGGATAACGTCAGGTACCCGAATTATCTTGCTGTTTGCGGTGCTTGGGCCCCAGTTTCCTGGGACACCGTGCACTCTGGCTACGTTTTCTGACTATGAATTAGATACTTTGGCGGCATTCGGGGTAAGCCCATAGACTAATAGACCGTGGTACATGACGACAGTCTGCAGAAGCATGGAGCAGATTCAGCAGATGCATAGCCCACAATGCTTTGCAATACTCGGTTGGCCCGGATGCGAATCTAATGTAATATTACTCGCTAAGAGCCACTAGCATCTAGGTTCTGGCACGACAGCGGGTCTGAACGCGTTCGCGTAGGGTCCTGGGGCAGTTGAAGACCACCTCGTTGTGCAAGTACCTCGGGCGCACCGGCACCTGCCAGCCTCCATGTCGAGGTTTGGGTGGCCATGACAGGCAGCCTCGTTCTTTAAAAATGAATATGTGGCTGTGGGCTGTGGGTCAAAAATAGGGTCACTCCAAAATGGGACCCTGGTAAGTGGGAAACATGGACCAAAATATGCGGTTTTGTGGTGGTTTAAATTTGATCCATGCCCATATGTTTTTGTTCCCATCAAACTTTAAGACTGGGTGGGGATGCCGTTTGGGATCGGCTTCACGGCCCAGCGTCCAGATGTCGCCCAAGAGGTTGGCCATGTTCACGCCGTTCAGCTTGTACCTGGCCGAAGCATGTCCAACCACCACCGACTTCAAACCTGAGGTAAGCCAACTAGCGCTCAAAAGCCATTGGCTGTAGGCACGAAGGGGATTAGGCAAATACATCTCGCCGTGCTTTTGCATCTTCAACGCACTATCCCTGCCTACTTTAAAAGGTCAACGTGGATTGCACGGTCAAGTTTTCTGCTCCGGCTGCCTCCCAGTCAAGCAGGGAATGTCGGCACGGCCGTTGCTTGTCAATTCCGCAGGTCTGCCTCGGAATCTATGCTGCTGTCGGACGAATTTTGCGAGTATACGTGATGATACCTCGTGTCAAGAGCTCCCGACCCAGTTGGGGGATCTTGGCACAACCCCCCAAGGCCGTTTCGGTACCTCGTGTCAGCCACTCTGGGAAGGCAGCTGTGCGAGCGTGGCATATCCGCACTGCACAGAACTTCCCTCCGCTGTCCCCTCCAGAAAAGCACAGGATGCAGTACTTGAATCTGGTCCTTAGGGGGGTGAAAAAACGTGACATTGCTTAGTGCACCCTACAGCCTAAACCCCGTACTTGTTTTTCTTTTTTTTTGTGTTTTTTCCTCTCTTTTTTTGCGAAGAAGGCCCCCAAGACTGAAACGGCCTTGGGGGGTTGTGCCAAGTTTTCACTGCCTCACATGCCCCAAGCTCCGGAGATCCCCCAACTGGGTCGGGAAATCGCAAACACAAGGACTGGCTGGTGCATGGAAACCTTTCTGTGCTCCTTTTGTGGTAAAGCACATAACATAACCCCTGCTCATGTATGCATTCCCTTTTGGCTCACCTGTAGAAAAAGTAAACATAGTAAACCAAGTTTCGGCCGTCTGGCACCCAGTTGAAACGCGTGGGGGTGCCCCCCCTTCCCTTCCGCACCTCTGATCATTGTCCACCCGGTACAAGTAGAAGGTCATCAATGGGCCTGGCCGAGGCGTCGGCTTTCGCGAGCCTTTGGCAAAGCGCGGAAAACCTCGCGGGGCAAGGCATGGGAAGGATCTGGGTGAATTTTCAGATTTTACCAACCTGCAATAAGGTGGCTGCGGGGAATTCATTCCCCACATAAACCGCCATTTTGGGTGGTCGTGTGAGGCGGGATGCCTCAGAGTGTCAAATGGCAGACGCAGAAGTTCAGAAGGCCGAATCTGGGACTTGGAACCCTGCAGTCTGTGGGTTTATCCCTGCCCCCTTCCAACCTCTCACAAACAATTTCCTTGCGTACCCAAGCACCTCGAGTGCTTTTTCGGAATTTTGTCCGGCCGAAGCTCGGCCTCGCAAAAATTTGTGTGGGGATGGGAAGTTTCAAGGATCCACTCGAGAAGTGCACGATCGAAACCTGGCCTCACCGAATGAGAGTCGACATCCCATTCCCACAGGGATCCCTATCTGCCGCTCATCTGGGGGGGAAGCTGGTCTCAGATGCCCAGTGGCCATGGGGAAAAAATGTTTGTTTTTTTTTTGGTTGGGTTTCAAGGGGCGCCCTTCCCCCGAAAACCGGAGAAAAAAGGGGCCGGAAATGGCCGGGATCCACTGGGCAAGTGCGCTTCTAGGAGCTCCAAAAGGGGAAGTTGCGGGGGAGCTCCGCCCGAACAGGCGCACTCGAGAAGTAGAAGGCCTGTGTCTGGGATTTCGCCATGGCAACAAGCGGAAGGCTCTTTTCCCGCTTGCTTGGTTGACGCTGGGTTTGGGGAGCAAAATGTTTTCAAATTCTAGCAGTTAAGTGGATTTGGATTTCAAACAAGCCACAATGAGCAAACATGGAAAAAATCTTCCCAACAAGAACCACGTGAGTTTCGCCGGACTGGCCTGGGGTCGCCGCCGGGGGCGCGAATTCGGGCATGGGCCCGGCGCCCAGCATGTCCTGCTTCTCCTTGGCACGGTGCCTCTTGACGCCCGAGAGAGTTTTTTACTGACCCTCCTTCATGAAAGATGACTGGAAGGCGAGGACGATTACTACTTGAGAACCTCCCTGTCAAGCTTTGCGATTTTTGGAAGGAGTTGTTTTTTGGGTTTGGAGTCGCTAACTATACACTGTCAGTGATTGAACCTTAATTGCCCACAAATCTCGCAGCTGCTTTCGAGGAAATACCCCCCCCCCCCCACCGAAAAGGGCTGCCAAAGCCCCATTTTCTCAAGCCCCTCATCCATGACGCATGTGAGAGCCCTTGGTGTCATGACCCTTTTTGCATCCAAGGGGAACTACTGGAGATGTATGCATCAATCATTCCTACACTGCGTCCAACACAGCCATCGCTCCATGTCGTAGCTACCATGGAACTCACCAGAAGGTCCTGGTGGAAAAAGTGTCCAAGCGCAGGTTCGACGGGTAAGTTGCTTTCTGGCCACAGCCACACAAGCGACACTACTATCATCCGGGCGGCGATCTCAGAGTCGCAGCAGCCTGGCCCCGCGGTAAGAATCTTAGAAGGAACTTCCGTGGCACAGCAACTGACAGCTAGCCCTCTGACAGAAGACAAGAGAAGAATATGCGCGTGCAAAAAACATGTGCGTCTTGCTGGAGGATTTTGAACTTGGCCCCAAAGGGGAAGAACTGCCCGTACCGCTACATGTCGGCCTACCGACATTGCATGTGGAACTGCCTGCCCCCTAGAATATATTGATATACCGTATTTGCAAAAAAAACACCGCCTTTGGAATTCACCCTTCACCCGGCAAAGCGCCAGAATTACATTGTGTGAGCAAACAGATGCGCCGAAACATGACGTGGCTGTGCTCAACTGCGCTCGGTTGCTCGGCTGTGCTTTGTTGCTTGGCGGCGCTCAGCTGAAGGAAATTGCCACACAGCCCCTCCGAATACAGTGGAACAGTACAACTCATGGTCAATCATGCGGCTCCCTACAACAAAGCGCCATCACTAGGTTCCACGGTTAGGCCAACCCCTAAGAATGACCATCGTTTAAACAACATCCTTTCGCATTCTTCAAGGGGAACCATGCAGTCTGGTTGTGTGAACACGTTTGGAAAACCCTCCTGGGAACTGTGTTACTGGTTGCCTCTGACATGCGAGACAACTAATTATTTGACATTCTCCAACTCCAGCGTCCATAAACCCAACCATGTTTGAAGTTGAACTAAAGCCCTGGCATCAAATTCATGCTTGCCACTCACTGATTGATAAC